TCCAGTGGCTCCTCTAGGGGTGGCACTACTGGTGTGAGCAGGAACCAAGCAGCTTAAAGAGTTATGGCAGAACAGAGAACCATCATATCCTAGGGAGTTACATATACATTAGAAGGGATTTTGGATGTGGGTTGGGGATGGGTGTGCTTTTTCATTGTATTCAATTAGTTAATACAGTCATGGCCGAAATTGTTGGCACCCTTGATATTTTCCATATTTCACACAAAAAAGGTATTGCATTAACACCAGTTTATTCCCCTTTGTATGGCTCAAATATAAAACAGAGGCAGAAAAGCAAATATGACATAATGTCACACAAAACCCCAAAAATGGGTGGACAAAAGTATTGGCACCCTTAACTTATATATTTGGTTGCACACCCTTTGGAAAACATAACAGAAATCAGGCTTCCTATACCATCAATAAGCTTCTGACACCTAACCCGGAGTTATGGACCACTCTTCCTTTGCAGAACAGCTCCAGGTCTCCCTTATTGGAAGGACACCTTTTCCCAACAGCAATTTTTAAGATCTCTCCACAGGTGTTCAATGGGATTTAGATCTGGGCTCATTGCTGGCCACTTCAGAACTCTCCAGCGCTTCTTTGCCATCCATTTCTGAGTGCTTTTTGACGTATGTTTGGGGTCATTGTCCTGCTGGAAGACCCAGGATCTTGGACGCAAACCCAGCTTTCTGACACTACCCTACAGTGCGACCCAAAATCCTTTGGTAATCAGATTTTCATGATGCAGAGGCAGCAAAACAACCCCAAAACATCATTGAACCTCCACCATATTTTTACCGTAGGTAGCTTTGTAGGCCTAAAGAGTTTGCGGTATGGCAGAACAGAGAACCCATCATATCAAGTGGCTCCTCAGAAGGTGGCACTACTGGCTTACTCAAGTACCGATTTTGGCAAACTGTAGTCTTGCTTTTTTATGTCTCTGTGTCAGCAGTGGGGTCCTCCTGGGTCTCCTGCCATAGCGTTTCATTTCATTTAAATGTCGACGGATAGTTCGCGCTGACACTGATGCTCCCTGAGCCTGCAGGACAGCTTGAATGTCTTTGGAACATGTTTGGGGCTGCTTATCCACCATCCGGGACTATTCTGCGTTGCAATCTTTCATCAATTTTCCTCATCCGTCCAGACCAGGGAGATTACCCATCATATTGCCTTCTTGAGTTGCTCCTCTAGGCAAATCTAGTGGGAGATGGACTTGTACTGGTGTGTCCAGCAGGAACCTCAGAGCAGCTTTTCTGATGTTATGGCAGAACAGACAACCAATGCAAAGGTCAGTGAACGTCTCCTACGGGGGATTTCACTATATTGCCCAGAAGGATTTTACCTGAGCCCCAGGTGAGTTTACAGGAGCATCACATGCTTGTAATTATCCGCATTGTGAAAGGGTAATACTTTTGTCCAGCCCATTTTTGGAGGTTTGGTGTGGGTTATGGGAATTTGTGTGCTTTTTTTTGTCCCAATACACACAAAGGGAATAAACATGTATATGTTAATTACGTTTCGTGAGAAATATTCAATTAGTTAATATGTGCCAAAACAATTTCGGATATTTTTTTTTGGATATTTTTTGTACCTAATACATTTTGATGCTTTGAATTTTGAGTAAGGTGTGTTGCTCTGTGTGGTGTCAAGATCCATGATTTTTTTCTACTGTACATAACACTCAGCAGAATATTGTACTTGGGTCGGTTTTAGAGAGGAGCCAATTAACTTGTCAGCATGTCTTTGGCATCTGGGAGGAAACTAGAGTACACAAGCACAGGGAGACCATACCAACCCCATGCAGCTAATGTCTTCACCAGGACATGAAAAAAGGACTCCAGTGCTGCAAGGAAGAAGTGCTAACCACTAAGCCACTGAGAACATGCAAACCTTATAATTGTCTACAAAATCTAAAGCTCAATTCACCAAGCTACAAGGATTGTTTTCAGTCATAACAACTGTCATTTTCACTAATGACAGCCAGCGAGAGCTGAAACTAACAGTCACACAGCTGAAAATACCAGTCACACGGCTGAAAACAACGATCGTTATGGCAAATAACACATGCATTATAGCTTAGTCAACTGAGCCCCAAGCTTTCTACAGCTGCCAGCCTTACCTAGAAAGACCTGACTTTAAACAAGCACGTTCGATTTGAGTATGCAAATCGGGTAACAATGTTTCAGTGTGCATGGAAGGAGAATTTTATTATCTAACCGCAGCTGCATTGAGAGCTGAAATATTTTCCTAACGTCTGAAGGATCAGAGGCAGAAAACCTGTTTGGGTGGATCTTATTTTGGATTTAATAAAACGGCACGGTGGTTTCTATTACCTATTTATAAAAGTGAATTGGTTTTCTGGCGGAGGGACAGGAGGGGGCAGGGCAATAAAACAGAATTAGAGAACACTATCATAAATTCCCCAGAGGTGGCCTAGAGGTTTTCAAGTCATGTTGTGGCTTTTGGATTGAAACCTGGAGATTCAGTCACCTCTCTCCTCGTCTTGGGGACAGGCTGAGGATTCCAACAGCTCAGCATGACACCCAGTGGCTAGAAAAGGACACTTCAAAGAGATTCATGCATAGAAATAAGGCTCACATCAAGCGTGTCAATTGTCTCAAGTGTGTCTTAAGGATTTGGCAGAATTATTCTATATGTGGCTTTACATCCATATACATTACAACTAATGTGGAAGAACAGATAAAGGAAATGTGATGTGTAGTCAATACAGGTGCGGATTGTTTTTTTTAAACATATGCTGTACCCTTGCCAATGGGAATCAAATCACAGCCTGCTTGATCCAGTGTGCTTAATTCAACAGACACATCTAAATCTTTTTAATGCAATCTGTTATATGTGTGTTGAATATACATTATTATTATTATTATTATTCAAAGTTATCACACAGTACTGTAAAAATCACACTGCTACTCTCATTAAAAATGATTTTATATAAAACACTGCAAAGCTGGTCATGCATGCATATAAATTGATTATGCATTTTGTTTATTTATTACAAGTATATACTGTCTATCCCCAATAATTTTACATATTGTACATTCACATCAATCCCTGCCCTCAAGGCGCTTATAATCTAAGGTCACTATCTTACATATATACACACCCTAGGCCCAATTTAGACAGGAGTCAACTAAGTCACCGTACTGCCCCAATTCAACTCATCTCATGATCCAAGGTAGCCATGTACATATGTGGTCAAATCTGTACAATCAAGTAATTATCCCAATGAACATCTGGAAATACCTGGCAATAGCCATACACATAGTGCCCGACTGGACATGTCTGTGAGATCATATTCAGGGATCTACTGGTCAGGCATGTTGGACCTTGTTGGAATATTTTCACTGTTCACCCCATGATAGTTTGCCTGCTCAGTACACAGACAAAGAAGGGGGTGTCTGCTCAGTGCACAGACAGAGAAGGGTGTGCAAAAATGGGTGGGGGTCTTAGTGCACAGAGGAGGGGGTCTCTGTTCAGTACACAGACATAGGGGGTGATTGCTCAGTGCACAGACAGAGAAGGGTGCCTGCTCAAATCACAGGTGGGGGTGACTGATTAATGCACAGACAGAGAAGGGGGTATCTGATCAGTAGGCAGACTGACTTCACAGTGCACAGAAAGAGGAGGAGGTGACTGTTCAGTGCACAGAGGAGGGGGTTACTGCTTAGAACACAGACAGTATGGGGGGAGTACTGCTTAGTACACAGATAGAAGGGGGGGGGTGCCTGCTACATGCACAGAAAGAAGAGGGGGTGGCTGCTCAGTGCACAGATGAGGGGGCCACTGCTCAGTGCACAGACAGAGGAGGGGGTCACTGCTCAGTGCACAGACAGAGGAGGGGTCCCTGCTTAGTGCATGTATGGGGGGGGGACTGTTCAGTGCACAGACAGAGGAGGGGGCCACTGCTCAGTGTACAGACAGAGGAAGGGTGCCTGCTTAGTGCCTGGATGGGGGGGGGGGGGTGACTGTTCAGTGCACAGAAGTGTAGGCATATTCAGTTGATATCTGTCCATCTACACACAAAAAAGAAGGTTGTTTAGCAGGCAGAAGATGCATATATGATAGATAAACATCCTACCCATGCTAAGTGAAGTGAACCTGTGGGCATACTTGCTTTATAATGAGAGCACCCAGGTAAAACTCGTGTGCTCCATTATACAAATATTGTCAGCCACTGTGGCTGATATTTGTCCTGCCTTCGTATACTCACATATGTTTCTATTGGCTGCCCAATGTGATGAATAGCTTTGCTTGACAGTAAGTAGATGCAGGGGCAGAAGAAGGTGCATCAAATAACAAGCACATTATTATTATTATTATTATTATAATACACCAATCAGCCATACCTTTATGAGCACCCACCTAATATTGAGTAGGGCCCCTTTTTACTGCCAAAACAGCCCTGACCCATCAAGGCACAGTTTCCACTAGACCTCTGAAGGTATGCTGTGATATCTGACACCAAGCCATCTGTAGCAGATCCTTTTCGTCATATAAGTTGCAACTTGGGGCCTCCATGAATTGGACTTGCTTCTCCATCAAATCCCACAACTTTTCAATTGACCTAAAATCTGAGTAATTTGGAGGTCAAGTCAACACCCCAAACTCTTTGCTGTTTCTCAAACCATTCTTTAACCATTTTTGCAGTGAGGCAGGCCACTGCCATCAGAGAATACTGTTTCCATGAAGGTATATACTTGGCCATCAACAATATTTAGGTAGGTGGCCTAAAGCATCACACTGCCCCCTCCTTGCCTTCTTCCCATACTGCATCCTGATGCCATTTCTTCCCCAGGTAAGTGGCACACACACACCTGGCCATCCACATGATGTAAAAGAAAACGTTATTCACTATTCCTGGCCACCTTTTTCCATTGCTCAGTGGCCTAGTTCTGATACTCACATACCCATTGTAGGCACTTTTGGCTATTGACATGGTTCAGTATTGGCATCCTGACCGGGTTGTGGCTACGCAGATTCATACACAACAAACTGTGACGCCCATTTTTCTGCTTTCAACACATCAGTTTCAGGGCAGGGGCGGACTGACAACTCATGGGGCCCCTGGGCAATAGGGCATCATGGGGCCCCCTTTTCCTTGCCTAAACTCAAAAAAGCCTATGAAAAAGATAATAAGGGCATCTCATGGGGCCCCCTACTGACCCCGGGTCCTCGGGCAGTGCCTGAGTTTCCAAATGGTCAGTAAACCCTTGCTTCAAGGATAACATGTTAACTTGCTGCATAATATATCCCACTGAATTTCAGATGCCATTGCAAGTTGCAACCAGATAAACAATGTTGTTCACTTAACCTGTCAGAGGCCATAAAGTTATGGCTGATCAGTGCACAGCACAAACAGCAGTAGTTTAAAAAAGAGAAGTCAGTACAGTTACAACATAATTCAATCCAGGAGGGTTAAAAGAGTCCTGCTCATGAGAACTTCCATTATTTGTTGTGTGCAATATCTGTATAATAGAGGATGTCCAAGCAACCAGAGATGCCTGCTGTATGGACCTAGAACCACCATGCAAGCTTTGGTTTACTTTTAGATGTCCAATAACAGGCACATAGAGGTATTTCAAAATTATTGCTTACTGAACTCTCCCCAATTAACAGTGAGACCTGTTTCAACTGTACAATTACCATACACATGCATTTGTTAAAATTGCACCTTAGATGTCCAGTGTGATGTCTATACAAATCAACCCAAATATAGAGATATGTACAACCTGAATATCCCATCCATGTTACATACTACCCTTAGGAAAAAAAACAGATTTCACTTTTCACCAGCTAAAATAATCTGGGACCATAAAAGATAATTACTGATTGGTTGCCTTGGGTGCAGTACTTTACTTTAGTAAACATAGACATATGTTTTGATTCTGCTTAAAAAAAACAATAAAATATCATTTTATAGAATTCTTTAATAAGATCAATATTTGAAACAATGATTTACGTCAAATTGTTTTTGGTACATTTCACTAAATATTGTCCTTTTTCTAAGCCCTCCCCAATTTGTATCTTAGCTGGTCAACTTTTAAAAGGGAAAGAGAAGAAAAAAAAAAACTGCATCTCCTTAAATTACTAGCAGAGTGAATGGTAATCGTAAGCAGATGGCCCTTTATTTGTGGGTTAAGAATAATTACCCTTAGGACTGGCCTAAGCCTGCATCAGTCAGTTGCCTTTAACAGATGACTAGCCAGAGATATTTTTTAGCAGACACTACATCAACCTTGGTTTCTTACAACATTGTGATTTAGGAGACGAGAAAAAAAACGGCTTTTAATATGACTTTATTTTTTATTTGCTGTTTACTTTTTTTTTCCCTATTAAGCGAATCCCCCTTAGGTTTCTTTTTTCCCCAAGTGATTCTTAAATCATCTTAACACATTTTAACTGATCCATAAGTAATTGTATAATTGCAGAGTATTTTAGGCATAAGTTGGCTTAATGTAGCCCTGATAAGATGTTTGATAGGAGCTGTCAATTACTGACCTCCTTTTTTGGGGAAAGCTGGCCTGGTCTCTATATGTAAGGGTATATGGGGATGTATTATATTTATATGTAATACTTGAAGATCCCTAATTATGTCTTAAATCAGTTAATTAGGAACGTCCAGATTATGGTTTCAGTTGAAGTACACACCTGGATGGCACATGTCCTGCAAGCTATGCACAGGAATCAAAATACAGCTTATTATAATGTGAGAAGCAGTGAGCAGTAGATAATTGTTCAAACATTTCCAACCTGCTTAAAGAAAGTACTATATTTGAAGCTCATATAGGGCCCATTCACACATGCGTTTCTCCAATGCGTGGCAGAAAATCGAGTGTTGTGGTGCACTGTGTTGCCAAAAGGGGTTATATGCATTTTTTTCATCCATTGTGCTTCTTTAGTAGCACAATCAAAATGAATGGACTGCCTTAACGCAACACAGGTTAACGTGTGCCATCATGCACGTGTGTTAATGCGCCACAACAGACTTTTTAAGTGTAAATGGGCCCTTTGGGAATTGTTCACCCTCATGTTGTGGTCTTCCAACACAAGCATGTTTAAAGTGCAGTATCAAGCTTTTTATTTTAAACAGGGTTGCCAAAGCCCCTCAATGCACGCAAATCTGTTTTTTTCCAACACAGTGAACCAAAATACATAGATGGTTAACATTCGTGCATTGTGGTGCACTACAACACAAGTGCGTTGCAATGTCTTTTGTAGGTATATTGGGGTGATATTCAAAATAAATAGCACTGCAATGCATCACATTGTACATAATACATGTCTGTGAACTGCAGTAACGCATTTTGATGCACATTTTATTTCCTGGTGTGATAGCTGAATTGTCCCAGTTATTCTTTATCCATACAGTAACTTCTATATAATTCTGGGACAATTGCTGTTTTTATTTGACCAAGCTTTTAGGAACTGTGGATTGGATGGATTTCAGAGAAATTGATTTTGTGGAAAATGTTTTTAAACTTAGCTAAATGTCATTTAAACAGAAACACTCAGGTTGATTTACTAAAGGCAAATAGTCTGTGCACTGCGAGTGCAGTTGCTCTAGATCTGAGGGGAACATCTTTAGATTGTAAGCTCCACGAGCAGGGCCCTCACATTCCTTCTGTACTGAAATGTATTGCAATTGTACTGTCTCCCTTGTAAAGGGAGACAGTAAAGCGCTGCGCAAACTGTTGGCGCTATATAATTATTTATTACAGGTTCTTATATAGCACCATCAATTTACACAGCGCTTTTACATATATATTGTACATTTACATCAGTCCCTAACCCTCAAGGGGCGTACAATCTAAGGTCCCTAACTCACATTCATACATACACATATTAGGGCCAATTTAGACAGGAGCCAGTTAACCTACCAGCATGTCTTTGGAGTGTGGGAGGAAACCGGAGTACCTAGAGGAAACCCATGTAGACACAGGGAGAACATGCAAACTCCAGGCAGGTGGTGTCGTGGTTGGGATTTGAACCAACGGCCCTACCACTGCCAGGCAGAAGTGCTAACCACTGAGCCACTGTGCTGCCCAAATCCTGTATAATAATAATAATAATAATAATAACATGCAAGAAAAATTTAAAAAAATGCATTTTTGCTTGTACATGATCGGATGATAGAAATCAGCAGAACTTTCCTTCATTTCAGAGCTTCCCCTCGGATTTAGCGCAACTGCACTTGCAGTACACTTACAGTGCACTGACTATTTGCCTTTAGTAAATCAACCCCTCAGTCTCACTCATTGAGCTGACTAGACAAAATTTTGCTTGAAATAGAAAGTATTCTTTTTTTATTTTATTTTAGGGACAGAGGGGTGTACTTAGAGTATTGCAGTTTATTTTTATTTTATTTTTTTTTTGCATTATCTTCCTTTCTGTTTGTGTATTTGATTATTTGTGTACTGTTGCTTTAAATGTTTAAATTTATAATTGTTGCTTTTTTTCTGTGAGAAAAAAGTGAAATAATAAGGCTAACAAGGGGAAATGTTTGTTCAGAATACATGAACATAGATTTTGTAACCCTCAGGAGCCCCCGCTTACCACTGAAGCCCACCCTACTTACTACTACTTTTGCCTTCCCTATTGATGCTAATGCATTTTGTCAAAATGGCAATATTTCAATGTCTTCTTATTTTTGCTAATATGTCACAGAAATATAAAAATTAATTGTAATGCACCTCAAGCCAAAATAATGAAATGTCTTCTCAATAATTTAATGAAAATGCAGCCAGCTCATACATGAGCCCCATTTCCTTTGGTTCAACCCATGGGCTGAACAAGGGAAAATAATTTGATTCCCCCATTCACAGGGCAACTGCAGCTGAGTGAATCATTGAGGATGCCAAACAGTGACGTAGACCCCTTTTACATGGCGATCCAATCAGGTCCACCTGTCAGTGTTCAGGTGGACCTGATTGGAAGGTTCATGCATTCCTATGGACAAGCAGGCATAAACATACTTGTGTCCATTTACACCCATCTATCTCCAGTCCAATTCGGGGATCCGTTCTCTTCTGTTTAGGTGGATCTGATCGGAGGGTAGTCGGGTGTAAATGGTTAGTGGAGTCCATTTACTCCTAGCTGCCCATAGAGCAGAGCAGGCTCTGTATGCGTCCCCCTCCGTGTCATCTGCCCACTCTGATCTGATCAGCAGGGGATCTGTGAACTGCTTCTATGCTGATCAGAACGGAATCCGTCCCGTGTGAAAGGGGCCTAAATCCGAGGGGATGCAGTCATTTTCCGGCTGATAATTTTCTACCTAGCTCAATTTTTTGTTGAGCCAGGTGGTGTTTGCTGGATCACCCACAGCTCAAATTCAACAAGAATCAACCAAAATTTGAGCTGTTTACGAGGGTCTCAAGCCTAGTACACACTATGAGAAAAATCAGATGACCGGCTGTCCGATTGTCCACGAAAATGCGTATCATGATGTAGTTGAAATGGTATTGACTTGTAAAAGGGCAAATGTATGGACATTTTTTATTCGATTTTCCTATTGTGTGTACTAGGCTTTAATCCTCAGTTTGTTCTTTAAAGCTAACCAATCTGTGGGTATGTAAAAGATTAAAATAAGACTTTTTCATTTATTTTTTTTTTATTATTTCCAGCATTTACATAGCACCAACACATCATGCATCACTTTACAAAGTACATAGATTTATTCACATCAGTTCCTGTCCTCAGAAGGAGCTTAAACTCTAATCTATTCCCCAGATATCACATCATATTTGATTCTCTGTAGAATACCCTTTAGAGTCTCAAATACTAGAGCAGCCTTTCTCAAGAAAGGGGAACCCTTGAAAAATCTTTCCGCTTAAAAGGGAACCCCTGCTAAAAGTTACTTTATCTACAACTCATGATATATAAGTGTGATGGTCAGTGGGAAGAATGTTCCTTACACTTGTGGTTATTGGGAAGAATTACCCCTTACAGGTGGCAAAAAAGATCAATGGTGTCAGCGGGAACAACAAAATTGCTCATTGCTCAAGGAACCCCCAGCAACCTCTGGAGGAACCCTATCTGAGAAACCCTGTACTAAAGACTCAGATGTGTAAATAGCTTCTGGCCTTCATGGTTGCCATCTCTAACACACCCCCTTCTGCAATTTACCACTGATCCATTACTGTGATGGGCAGCCATATTACCAAAAAGTAAAGGTCAAGAGATTGGATGTGGGTGGGCAGAGCTGCCAGCCATGAAAT